AATCCTGTCGTACTTCTCTTCAGCAATTATGTTATGGTAATGTTGAATCCTGTCGTACTTCTCTTCAGCAATTATGTTATGGTAATGTTGAATCCTGTCGTACTTCTCTTCAGCAATTATGTTATGGTAATGTTGAATCCTGTCGTACTTCTCTTCAGCAATTATGTTATGGTAATGTTGAATCCTGTCGTACTTCTCTTCAGCAATTATGTTATGGTAATGTTGAATCCTGTCGTACTTCTCTTCAGCAATTATGTTATGGTAATGTTGAATCCTGTCGTACTTCTCTTCACCAATTATGTTATGGTAATGTTGAATCCTGTCGGACTTCTCTTCACCTTACTGGAATTTTGCGTAATGGCTTTTTTTAAAAAACTTGCATGTGTTAAACTCCGAGTTATGTGGTGAAAACGCCCAACATTAAAGAAAATAGTTTCCATTTGTTCAGCGGAAACTCCCAGCAATGAAGGAATGTTAGTTAAAACAAATAATCAGGTTAAGTTTTCAGGTAAAAATAGAACCAATTTTCCGGGAAAAGGAAATGGATATTTTCAAAGTTTTTAGTCTAACTAAAACTACTTTTTTACGTGTAAAGATACAACGAAACATCTCGGCAGACTTTTGACGTTTCCTTCACAACGTTTTAAATGCGTGCACTGAGAGCTTGCGAATGTTTTATCGCCCTTAGTGTTAAACCCCCGAGTTATTGGTGGGGCTAGTTAAATTCATTTTGTCGCCGGGTTAGAATCCCACCATCGAATATGCTCGCCCTTTCAGCCGCGCGAGCGTTATAACGTGAAGGTCAATTCCAATATTCGTTGGTAAAGAGTAGACTAAGAGTTGGCGGAGGGTGGTGTTGACTAGCTGCTTTCCCTATAAAAATAATTCTTAAATTATAAAAAAATACTTGCAACGTTTTCCGCAACAGTTGCGCTGAAGTGAAGAAGCGCTTAATGCACAGTTTGATGACGTCATAAACAGCATGAAAACATTCACGAGACTTTAGAAGAAACAGACTTAATTTACTCAAGTGTTTCGCTTTTTTCAAGAGTGTACCGAGCTGGTAATGCTGTTATCGTCGCCCCACATCCGCCGAGTCGTATCATTTACGGAGTTACAACGCTAAAATCCGCGGTTCGATTCCCCTCGGTGGACAAAGAGATGCATATAGCCCATTGTGTCCTCCCCCAGGTAGCTCGGCGGGTAAGATGGAGGTCTTATAGCTTTAAAATTCAGTGTTTGATCCCTACGGTGTGCACTGCGAAAGAATACTTGTGCAGCTGTGCGCTTAAAACATTTACTCGTGCTGAAAACATTTGGCTTAAACTAGTGTCATATAACCACAGCAGTATTAAGCCTAAAAACTATTTTTTTTCATCACATTAAGTAATTTGCATGTTATAATACTCGGTATGAAGAACTAACTAAATATTTGTTTAATATCACTCTCTCTTTCTGTGTGAAATACGTAGTAGATCCCAGCAGTTATTAGAGGGTTTAATTAAAGGTAATTATGTTTACATTTTGTGTGATTTGTGTTATTTAAAACCAGCAGCGTTACAGGCCCGCAAGCAGTTTGGTGCATGAATTGTTTATAAATATTTCTATGTACAATAATTGAAAAAACAAAACAAATACTTATATTTCATGAAAAAAAGTTTTCGTGTTTCTTCGGAGACTAATCTTGTGTTGATTTATACAGTCAAATAAAATGTTGTTTTTTCCGTACAAAAATGGTAAACGCGAAGTCTTGAACGGTTACCAAAAGAACAACTTAAATAATGTGTACCATAATCATTTCAGCATCTGGCAACGAAGCTAAATTTAAAAATAACTGTACTGTTAAAGACATAAAACAAAGTTTGTACGCAAAAATGTATTTGAGAAACTTTGCTGCGAAAAAAAACAACAACAAATGAAACAATCAAACAAACTATGTAGCCATACAAAAGTTAAAACACAAGTGATGAGTGGTAATTTTTGTATTTGATCAGCTCAGTATCGAACCCGAGATTTCTCGCACGTCAGACGAATATTTTAAACTGAGCTAAAGGATAATCCCCGTAGTAACCGCCGTTAATTAATTTTTTCCTAAACAGCAGAAATTTAGGGTGGCTCAGAAATACAGAATTCCCCCTCACCTCTAGTTTTGGACACGTTCGGACACGAGGATCCAATACCGGAAAACTGTATGTGTGTGTGAGGGGGGGGGGTAACCCCCTAATGAAACCAATTACCAGAACTGTGTACACACTAAAAGTATGTGTGAATTATCTACACTAAGGTACACAGGGCAAGGGCGCATTAACCCAAAAAAGGGCACTTTACAAGCCTTTTTTTTCTGTGTGTGTGGGGGGGAGGATTATACAGACTGTGTTTAATTTTCCTAATAAGCGGTGAACACGGGGGTATGACTAAAGCCTAACAATTCAACATGTGTGGTATATTCCAGGTTTCCTACGCGAGACCGAGTAGCGAGGCCATCAAGGGAGCCAACCTGTACGTTAGTGGGTTGCCCAAGTCAATGACCCAACAGGAACTGGAGAATCTGTTCGCCCCCTACGGTCGGATCATCACCTCACGGATCCTCTGTGATAATGTGAAAGGTAAGATTCGGGTCCGCGTTAGAGACTCGTAATGTGAATGTACTTTACCTTGTTTGTTAGGGTTAGCAATATAAAAGATTCGCATATTTAAACTTAAGAAAGACACGCATTGTG